TGGTTGTGGGAATTGTGGTTTGTTCTTGTGGTTTTCTTTGGTTTTGTCTCTGTTTGAGTTTAGGCAGAAATACCATATAACTGCATATCATTCCTTCTTTGCCTCCTGTATAGTCACAATGATGAACCATTCCTGAGCACCACTTATGACTTTACACTTCCATTGATTCATCCATTTCAAGCTGGAAGCAAAGGTCTCAAATACTCTCGCTTTGGAAGCAGGTTCTGCAGGACTGAGATACCAAGCTACAACTTCTTTCCAGAAACTACATTAAAACAGAACAAAAAAAGACATGCTTTGCAAATACAGGAACTACAGAACATACATCTGCCTTGCACATGTCCTACTTAAGCATCCCTGAGGCAGATGCCAGGGGGGATTTTCCCCTCAGATTGAACGAGCCTTGACATGGCTATTCTGTGTTAGACCAGCCGTATTACAGCAATGCAAAATGCAGGCTGACAGCTATTCCAACATGATCTCCTTAGTAACAGCACGGCCCAAGGAAACAAAGTTGGGTAGGTTTTTAGTTCAAAGAGGATCCAGAGAACTTTTCAGTACACTAATATTAAGGAAAGTGTTTTCAAATTTCACGCAAGAGTCCAGAGAAAATGCCGGTAGAGCAAGTGAACCATTTCTGCCACCAAAGGACAGAGCAGTCCACCACACATCTGTGAGAGTGGTCAAGCTCTTAAAAACTAAAGCTCGCACCTTGTGTAACAAAAGTCATTATACCCAGAGGAAGACCAAACTGGCAGCAAGAGTATCATAGTAAGCCACGTAAGGAAACCATGGCAGTACACAATTCCACTTTTTTTTCTCCCTGAATATACACAAGCCGCATGGACTAATATATGCCTGCTCTCAACTTCAGCTCTTGTCTAAACAAAATCATGACCAAAGTCCAGAGATATTTTAAATACAGATACAAGAACAAAATCGGATCACATTCAATAGTAATATTATCTTAACGGAGATTTCCATTTCCAACAAGGGTCCATCCACCTGCACATATCTGACCACAGACCGCAGAAGCCTTCCTGAGCACACCAGTAACTTGCAGGATACCGTATAATTCTGGTTTCTTATTTTTAATTAAATAAAAGGAAACAATATATCAAAGCATACAAACAGGAAACTCCAAAAATTAAATCCTAATATGTAGATCAATATTAGAAGGCAGCTATTTTTCTATCATGGACTGATTAAGCACAAGAAACTGCTGTGAGAAAGGCAAGGCCTGAGCTTCTCCTCTCCCACCCAATGAGTCCCTGTGACGTACCAAAACCACCCCACTCCCCCAGCCACCTCGTAACCCTGAGCAGCAGCAGCCAGAAAAGCTTGACCAACCTCTGGCTAATTAAGAAAGAGATGACAAAAGGAAGATGAGTGTATCCTAAGATGTAGCATCTTTTCCCAGAGCAAATAGCAAACTTTTTCCCCATGGAATGTTTTTTTAAATAGTTTACTGAAAAAACACAAGTAGGAAGTTCACCACAAGGAGTTATCTTAAGGTGATAACGGTGGTGAGTTGGTAAGCAGGACACCAAACAGTAGGGGCAAAAACCACTTCACCTTGCCCTGGAGGTTGCTGAACTGTTTGCCCAGCACTATCTTTGTATCTCCTTGCAGCCCACTAAAGGTCTCTTCTTTTTGGTACTCAGTATATTCACAAAACTTGAGACCTACTGCCACTCAACACTAGTTTCCAAGCCAGCATCATATGTTAACGATATCCTTCTGTCTCAATTTTTTCGTTGTTTCCCTTTTATTTTCTCTATTCAGTAATATTACCTCCCTTGTATACTTAAGCCAAATGCCAACAAGTTTCAGGGATGGGCGTAAACAACAAAGATGCTGAGAGAACTCAGTTTCTCCAGTCTCAAGAAAAGGCAGCTAAGGAGAGATCTCATTGCCATCTACAACCATCTACTGGAAGGGTGAAGAAAAGATTGAGTGAGACTGCTCAGAGGGTCTTGGTGATGGGATGAGGGGAAACTCACAATTTGAAATGTAGGAAGTGCCAGTAAGATAAAGAGACCTTTCATCTAGCAAGATATTGGAACAGGTGCTCAAGAAGTTGTTGAATTTCTGCCCTTGAAGATGCTCAAAACTTGACTGGACAAGGCCTCAGCAGCCTGCTCTAAATGGACCTCCTTCATGCATGGAGCTGGACTCGATGACCACTACAGCTTTCTTCAAACCTTCTTTTCCTACGATTCTGGCAACTCTTATATGATCTTCTGGTAACTAACAACAAATAATGCCCTGGCTACGACTGATACGCAATTTAGTAAGATCAGCAATAAGTTTCCCATTAAAACATTCACAGTAAACTGTAAAGTTAATTATAATGTAATACTAAATTAAAATATTACAAGAGAAGTTTGCTTACAACTACGTGAAATCTTCTAGTATCATCTCCCTCCACGGATGGGAGAAAGCAAAGAAGGAAAAAAAGACTACCTATAAAGTCTAGTGAACACATGACTGACTTACATCTGAACAAAATATGGACTTCATAGATGTTTAACATAAGTTGTTGGGGATCATTTGTTCCCCAAACAGAGCCCTCCATGGAAGCATGATCCTTTAATAGAGCTGACAAACTGTTGCTGACTGCATGGATGTAGAGGGAGAAAGAGACCAAACAAACTTTCTCCTTTCACAAAGCTCCTTCATACATAAATCCAGGACAACTTAATTAAATTGGTTGATTAAAGCTGTGCATACTGATTTATGCTGATGTGAAAAATTAAATAGTTATGCCAGTTTTTAGATGTAAAATAAGTGTACAAAGGCAGGATAAACATACATATGCCAGATTTATATCAGTCGAGCATGCTCATGCACAAGATTCCTACACATTTTAAAAAAAAAAAAATCAATCAACCATTGCACTGCTAGTTACAGCAGAGCTATCTGTATTGAAATCCACTGGCAGGAATCAACATGATGTCATAGCACTGCCTGCAGAGCTTCAAAGTTTAACACCATTCAGTTCTGGACTCCAGCCTCCATCCTGCACAGAAGGGACAGTCTGCAGGCTTGGTCTGGTCTTCTTCGAGCAGAAAGGGGTGTAAGAGACCGAAGGGATTAATGTATGGGGATGCCTCAAACATTGGTGCAAAACAGGTTCTGTCCAGCAACCAGAAGCGAGCTCACACAGGGTGGAGGAGGCATCGCCTTGTGAATCAACTCCCCTATTCTGTGAACTGAGATACCGCCTGTAGTTTGCACGTACGCGCCCGTGAACTGCGACTGTGCAGACAAAAGGTCATACCTCGGTCATGCAGAAGGAAAAAGGGGGAAGGGGCTAGACAACCACCGGAGACTACCAGGTACCCCAGACCCATTTCTTGAACTTTTCAAAGCAAAGATTACGCATGTGCCAGCCAAGGCAAATCCCCTCCCCTGGGGTGTAGCCAAGGTCTATGAAAAGAGAAGTTTCAAGGAGCCACGCATGCACGCCCACCACCTGAGGACCACAACCAGAAGACATCACTGGACCCAAGGGTGGTGATACCCCTCCTTTCTCTTACATCTCTCTCTCTTTCCATCTCTGTTTCTCTATTTCACTCTAGGCACATAAAGGTAATACTGTTAAAAGTTTGTTGTATTTCATCCCGGGCACATAATGGTAATATTGCTGCAAGTTTGTTGTTGTAATATAATCATAACTTTTGCCAAGCCACTATCTGCTGTAATCTGGCCAAGCTTTCAGTAAATGCGTGACTTTGATTGAACTTCTAGAGTGATTGTCATCACTCTGGATTACTGTACAGAGAATTTAAAAGATAACCTCACCCTCACCCACTGAGTGGGACAGGACAAGGGGCCAAAGGAAGAATGAAGTACTGTGTTCAAAACAAGAAAAGAAAAAAAAAAACCAAAACATTTGCCATCTGCACCTACGTGTCCATTTAAGTCAGAAGACATCAACTGAATATCTTAAGCATATTCTACCCTGTGGTCATAATAAATTGTGGTTAGACCATTACTAGAACTCATCTCCAAGACTGTCTGGGTTCCTGGAATTTTAATCATTTTACCCTAAAAAGAACTTCAATTTTATAAAACCGTTTTTCACAAAATACTTTTTTTAAAAAAAATCAGAAATGCATTAAAAAGACCATTTTTTCTCCTGCTAGTTAACCCAGACTCCCAATATTTTGCTCCTTAATTTTTCTTTAGCACAGATTCAAACCACGATCTAAGTAAAGGTTATTTAACTGAGAATCACTAGGCCACATCACACTGAATTACACTCAGTCCCTCAATTACTTTGAAGGCTTCTAAAAGAAAAAAAACAAAACAGAAAAACCACCCAAAACCCAGAAAAAATGCACAATCAACTCCATACCCATCTGGATCTCCAAGCCACTCCCAAGCTATTACCACACATTAAAATTACTGAGTTTTAACCCAGCAGCAGATAAAACCACCACCCAGTATAGTCTACACTCAATTTTCTCTGTCTCAAGAAAGTGCTAGAATCACCTTGTACCATGAGCAGACATGACAGGAACTATCAAGTATCATACATTTTTTTCCTCCACTCATGATTTAAGAAATCTGCTTCTGATCTATACAAATAAAAACTAGTCAGAGTTTCACATCTCCTGACCAACTGAGTTATCATTAGTGCTTTTCAAGAGAACAAGTCATTTCAGGGTGCCAACACTAGGAGTCCAAACATTAGCCAGCCATTCTCCATTTTATCGCCATCTTTTTTGGGGCAGAGGAAGCCACAAGTGGCCGTCATAATGCTTAGGACCTGCCGATTATACAGTAGAGAGAGAGTATACTTTAGTGTCTTTTACTCCCTGAAGAGGCAGGAATCCAGGGACCACCTTTCCTAACCTACAGTTAAATGATACGTTGTTAAATATTTGAGATAAAACTGGAAGGAGGAAAAAGAAATGTAGGCAAAGCAGAATTTACATTTCGGCAAATTGTCATTGTTACTTGTATATAATCTCACGAGTATAGCTCAGAGTTGTTCAAGTTATAGTAGGAGAGTGACCTCAGTTTCAGTTAGCCTCAACTTTCACACTTCTGAAGCAATCACTGATGTGTAACTGAAGAGATGATTAATGAAATGACTGTTTTACACCAGTAAATAAAAGCCCTATCCATTCACAGTATGAGCTTCAGATGGGCAAAATAAGTCTTTAAAATAATGGTGCTGGTTCCAAGGAAAAAGTCATCAGTAATGACATATATCTTAAACATACCTTTATAGTTTGAAAGAAGACATGTCATTAGGTGTTTTTAAGCAAAAGAAAGACAGTACCACCCTCACATACCTATGCAGCTCCAAATGACAGCAGGGTGCAACTTTAAGACGACAGCTATTCAAGTGTAATTGACAGCCTAATTTGATTTGTATTATTCATACGCATTACAACATGCAACCTGGCACAAGTGTACATTCAGGGAGAGGATGGCAGTTAGAAAAACATCTTTTCACCTGCAAACTGAGAAAATCACTTCCTTTGAAAATTAGCAAACTATAATGAACTTTTCCAATTGCATCACTGTTTAAAGCAGCCTCACCCTTGGCTTCTTAAGATAGATGCTGATTCGGTTTATTAATTTATTTGGTTTTATTTTTGGTTTGATTTGATTTATGCTGGTTAGCTAGTGTTAATGCATACAGCCCAGAGATCTTGCAGAAAGTTTTATTAAGTCTTAATCGCCATTAACATTGCTATGAGATCCAGAAAGTAACTCACGTAATTGCTCCACTGATACAGATATTTATACACCAATACCCACTATCAGCATTTCTTAATCCAGGACAAGTGAGGTAGCATGGAATAACATGAATATAGGAATTAATGAATAATCAGAAGCTACCTGTCTTGGACTGTTAAGACTCACAGCGTCACTGTCACAGAAAACAACAGTCATGAACCAGCACTGACCCAGTCAGCTGAGCAGAGCACCATGTGAACAAGTTATACTGCTTCAGGGCATAAGCTGCCTCTGCATCACCCCTCCCAACACCCCTCCAAAACTAACCGGGACTCCTCTGGCACCAGCAGCATAGCATGAACCACAGTAGATAATCAGGAGCCAGCTACGTGCATCAGAACAAGCTACACTGTATATAATATAAGTCAATAATATTGTCCATTTTTTTTCTCATAATGAAGACTTAACATTTCTGCCATGCTGTAATACTTGTTATAAAACCCTTAACTAATCACTTTCAAGATTTTAAAGGGTCTGTAGCACTCTAAAATGGGTTTCAGATTATATGCAAATTTAAGACAAAGAAAAGCCAAGAATGTTTTTAAAAGGTACTTTTTCTTATTAGTATGGAATGACAAATACTTCCTCTAAACTTCCATTACACTAGTCATGATAATCAATTCAAGCAATTTTTACTTATCACCCCAAGTGACAGATCTTTCAAAAATTTCTTACTTTCTAGTTCTACGATAAAGTTAAAATCCAGCTGTGCTTTTTATACACAGGTAGCACAAAAAGATTCTCTGCTCACCTTAACATGATCAAAAACCCACATGTCAAGCTTGGCTGCATCTTGTGCTCCAAAGTCTTCACTTTCTGCCGTGTAACAAAATGTATAAACATGATCTCCAGTAGCACCTGCAAAAACAATATAGAAGGAATAGGAGGCAGCAAAGTTTCCTTCCTTTTCTCATAGTCAAAAATACATGAATATTTAACGCACAGGAGTAGAAACCTATCAAGAATGACAATCCTGAGAGAAGTCGAAGAAATTTTCTCCTTATTTTAAACTTTCCCATAATTTATGGTTTTTTTGAAGCCTGGATACCATTTTAACTCATTAGCTTATCAGCACTTCAGAGGAATGAGGAACAATGTTATCCAGTATGCTCAGGTGAAGAAATAAGGTATGGAAAAGCAGACAGGAGCAGAACAAGTCCCAGTTACAGCAAATCGATCAGAATTCAGTTTTGAAACAAGGAATTTCACTGATAAACTTCTAATAGAGGAAGTTACCCATTAAGAGCCTTGTTTGAGCACATGTGTGGGGGGGGTATGTTTAAGAAGATCTACCTAGGTTTTGGTTGTTAAACTGAATCATACAAGACAATGCCTTATTCATGAGGCCTTTTACACAGGAAAACATCACATATCACATATAAGGAAGGCAACAGAAGGGATGTAACTTAGTTACCGTACATCAATTCTAGGAGGCAATGCAGTACTAAGAGCCAAGTGGACAACTTCAGGAAGAAAATAGGCAAAGTCGGCATCTTTAAAACATGGATTCAAAATATAAAAGATAGAACTACTGGACTATGTTCAGGCATAAAGTACAACATGAGGGCCACTGATGCAAAAACACGGCATCTGGACAAGGCAATTTCATTCTGTACTCACTGACGAGAGCAAAGCAGAGAAAGGGGTAAGGGGAAGATGAAGACCTAGAAGAAAGTAAACTTCTGAAGTCCTGGAAAGATCTGAAGTTAGGTGGGGTTTAATGAAATAATTCAGTCAACGGCTGAGCCATTACAGCTTGGGGATGCTATTTCTACCGTGACTATGTAAACTCCCAGAGGGGAGAATGCTCTTCAATCAGTTGATGGCCAGAGAGAATATAACCGATTTGCTGGATGCCACATCTATATAATGCAGTTCTGTAAGCTTCCAGGCTTGTGAATGAACTAACATCCCAGTATAAAGGAGCTGTTTAACCAAGCTTATGTCCAAATCCACACAAGGGACGCAGGTATTTCAGGCCAGGAAGATGAAAGCTGGCACAGATTTTCTGCTGCAGCTCCCCACTGTCCCCCAGGAGATGTTACTACTACTTATAACCCAGAACACTCACTGCAGTTCTCACAGCCTGAAAGAAAAGGAATAAAATACTCCCAGGCATTAAAAAATGAATTCAGGAGTTCCAATTAGTGGACAAATGAGTTCAAAGAAGAAATAAGCCCTGGCCATCACTGTCAGGATGGCTGATGGTCTAAGAGTGTAGAGTGCTGTACTGTTTTTCTGCAGTGTCACAGCAAACCCAAGAAGACCTCTCTTTGAGAAGTGCCACACCAAAGAAGTCAAATGAAAGCATGCAGTTTGCAGACCGGGCAAAGGAACACATCTACTACTTACTGATTTCTAATTTCTACCAGTGGAAAAAAAACAAATAACCCACTCAACCCTGCAATGCTATAAAGAGAAAGAGCAGCAAAATGAAGCCATACTAGGAAAGTTTTGCAGTGCCTGCATAGCTTATAAAATAATTGATTTTCAAAATAGGAAACTCTACTATGCAAAATATTACAAAATATTATTTTATTTCTATCGTTTGAAAGGTGGCAGGCAACAGTATGCCCAATACTTTCTTTAAGTCTGGAGATGAGGAAGCAAAGGTGGGATAGAGAAGTAGAAGGAAGCCAGGGATGAAAATGTCCTTTAGAAGTGAGCAAAGACCTCTACTGGGTTGGGTGCTGTCATTACACTAAGGGAAATAACTGGAGGTGTCAGAAACTCTCATACCAGATACCACCTACTCCTACTCCAGACTTGTCTGGCACATCATCTTGTCCTCAGCATCAACATTCAAATATTAGGATCAGGTATCAAGTTATCACCCTCTTACAATAACATTTATATCCTGTGGAAAGAAAAGCTCTTGCTCTGCTAGCAGGGCAGATTGTGTGTCTGACAAGCCTTTCACAGGTCAGAGCCCAGACCAGCAGGAGACTTGTGCTAGCAAATTTTGCAGGCACAAAAGAGGGGAAGAAAGAATGAAGGCACAAGGACAGTCAGACACTGAGCCGACAGAGTGTGGGCATCAGAGAGCTGTCAAACACAGCCAGGTCAGGAATGTCAGAAATGTTGCATTCTTATTGGTGCGCTGTAGGAACAAGGAGACCGAGAGGTCTGTCTGTCCAGAATAACCCCGACAAAGGTTTGTCCGGGTTGTTCCCATGGTCTCGATGATACCTTTCCTCATACTCCAGCTAAACAATGACCCCAGCCTTGCTGCTAGTTTCCAAGAGAGACAAAGGGAATCTGTGGAACAAGTGGCAATTTGGGTGTAAAGGACTAATATCTACTTTCCTTAACAGAAGCAACAGCCTCAGCTCCTTTTTCAGCATGGCATTTAATACTCTGGATTATACTCCAACCTAGATCCATGACAAAACAGTACAGGACTGGACTGTTCAAGTCAAGCCTCAAGTTCCGGCAAGTCTAAAAGAAAAACCTCAAAATTTTAAGGAGCGTTCTGGAAATAAAATAAGCATTTTCAAAGTATATTATTTTCAGATAATTTCAAGGTCATAATCTAAAAATATCATAGAAAGCATGGTTAAAATTAGCACACTGAATTTGTGTAGCTTAGGTTTAACTCTTAGAAACTAACACCTTTTAATCTTGCTTATGTTGTAAGTAAATTGCATACCAGTTCCAAAGGCATACCAAATGTCCAAAGGACATTTTCTCAGACTAAAACACTAATCACAGAGTCATTGAGACATCGATAAATTTAGATTTCATGCATATCTGTTTTGATATTTAAAGAGACCTGTGAGCATCTTATTTACCTTCTCTATAGAATCCTCAACCACTTCATTGACATCTTTATTTTATGAGAGGAAAAGGACCTGAAGAACATAGACAATGACAGGAAACAAAGGATTTTTCTCTCCTTCCCAAAAACCAGCAGGTGTTATACACTCTTTATGTATCATCCAATGAAAGAGGTGAAACAGTTAATAAAATTCTGAACATTTTGGCATGATAAAATACAAACAAGAAGAGTCCTATGACCTCACTAATTTGCAACATGGAAAGAGGGAGAGAAATTAAGCTATGCTCCCCTATGTCCTTTTCGGCTATTTTGTAAAAGTAAAGAACAAACACTTGAATATATTCCTTTCAGTATGATAAAATTTCTCCTCTTTGGAAGAAGGGAAAATACCTTTTTCTACTAAAAGAAGTTAATCTACTTTTCTGTCATGAGAAACTATGATTCATTTTCCCATACAGCATCTACTTCTCCGACACAGTGCTGCACTAAACCTTTCTCAATTTGGGGGGATTTCCCACCTCCTGCAAAAGACAGCTCCATTGTCGATGCCTCTCAGAACAAGCCATATTAAGAGACACAGCAACAGTATGGTATTACCCTTGCACATCCCGCCAGATAACACCAAAGCTGCTTCCAAGTCCTCTGCTTATCTTCTTACTCAAACAAATCTAGTAGAAGGACAGGGCTCTGGGAAATTCTTGAATTCCTCAAATGCTTTCCCAAGAACATATCTCCAAAAATGTAAATAATCTGTGCAAGGGCAGCGTACTACCTTTCCCTTCTCCCCAGCCACCATCACAATATTCCCAAATACAAGCTGTAATCTGAGGTCATGGGAAATTATCAGGAAATATTTTTACAGCTTACCATAAACTTATGAGGATCAAGCAAAGAACAGAGAAGAGGTATGTGGGGGGGAATATCAGGAGGAAAGGGGGAAGAGATTGGAGTTCAGAAAAAGTTCAAGAATCATCATGGGAAATATGATGTACATTTTTTCTAAACCAGTATTAGATTCCACTTCTACCCTGCCTATCACATTTTTCTGATTTGTCAATGCCAATACTTAGAATAGAACAGCAGCGTACACCCCTAGCTTGTCCCCTTTTCACTTCAGTCTGTGTTATTCTGAGATTATGGGAAAGGGGGTATATGCCCTCATTCTTGCAAGAACAAAACAAAATTAAATTTGGAGACCCTTTAAATGTTTGAAGTGTTGCTCAGCAACCTCTGCATGCTCAAAGACCAATTGCACTGGGCTGACAAAACTTTAGCACACTGCACACCATGGGGGAACGGCTTCAGCTTCAGACATAGTACCAGGCAGTTCCTACTTGCACATAGTTCTTCGCTTTACCCATTACTGTTCTAGAGTAGAAGCAGGATAACCCACAATAAGCTGCTTCTCCAGCTCAGACACTGAAAAAGCACGGCTGCAGTTCCACTGCCCGACTCACTGGAAGCTACATGCAGAGGAAGTAAAACCCCAGCTGCAGGCTTGCAAACAAGAGCTTTAAATGTCAAAGAAAAAATATTAGATCCTTTTAACTAAGGATGTGTTTCCATTAGTATTCTTACAGAATTAGGTAAGGCCTGTTTAAATAGATGAATAATAAACAGGGATATACTCTTTAAAAGCTTGCTTCTTTTTCTCCACCCAGTCTTGAATTCACAAACAAGAAATTAGGTATACACAAATATACAAACTGAAAATACTTCATTCACCTTCTTCTCTAACTCAAAAACTCCTAAGTGTCTCTATTTTACTGCATGATAACTATGTGTTAAAGATTCATAAAATTTAAACCTTACCTTTTGCAAACATTGGCAAAATATCTGGGCTTCCCCAGCTCCAAGTATATTTACTTTCGTTGAAAACAGAGTCGAATTCCACTGGATTCTCCTTCCATCCTGGTTAAACAAACATACCTGGATTTAAATGGGGTTGCCAGATCATCTCATTGACTGCTAAGAATGATAGTCCATGCAAATTTATTTTTTTTATGTTTCCCTTATATTATTTCACAATGAACTCCACTTTCCGAGCTTTGGTTTTACTTCCATTTCAACCTCTATTTGCAATTAGTCCCCCATTCATTGAGAAGTAAGCTGAAAACCTAAGCCAATCTCATCATGCAGGAATTCAGACAAAACACACAGCTGGTTTACCTTCTAAACAACTAAAATTCTCCCGAAGTCTAAATCCCCTGTGGTCTGTCCTCAGCTTTTGGCATTTTAGGTCAAATAAATTACATACTCATATATCATATTTCCAGCAGTCACGATCCATCTCATCACAATAAAACCTTCAAGATCTTCTGTTTCCATGACAAGGTAGCTGACACAAATATAGAGATGCTCTTAACAGTTTCTGCCAATCTTGCATTTGTGGTAGATATCAGAAGGAAGAACTTTCTGATTAGGAACACAGATGAGATCAAGTAATTCCTCTTACCTCCCCTGTCCAAAACCAACACACAACACTACAAGTGTTCAGGCCTGGAAGCCTGGGGGAAGGCACAGGACCACACAAAAGATCAAGTCAGTAATGCAAAGGCTTGTTCCACATTATTAACCACCAAGCACGCAGTAACAGCTAGCTCTGGACAAAACACATACTTAGGGTTTTCGCTTTATTTTACTACCGATTCTCAACTCAACCTAGCAATGGTTCAGCTATGACACTGCAGTTCACTTCTTGTTTGTGACACCAACTTAGCCATCTCCCATTACATTCCAAATGATAATTAAAAACTGTGTTACATGAAGAGGTCACTCCATAAGATACTTCTGCTTCTAGACTCAAGGTGCTAAATTCAACCATGTTACAAAATAGTAACTTATGTAAGCTATTTTCATAGCTATCAAGAGTGGGAAATCCATCCAAAATTATTCTTTTCCATATAATCTTGATATACAAACTGCTATGCAGGTATTTATCAATAATCAACTACAAGTCCAGCACATCACTGAAACACCTTATTTTGGAGGACAGTGTTCAACGCTTTAGGACCAGCATACCTTTAGCAACTGCACTGACATCTTCATAAAAGCCAGCTATAAGTGCAACGTGCCCAGGCCTGGATTCTGTCGGGACTCGGGTGTGAGAGATTCCCCAGCTGCCATTATTCTCTAGAATACCCCTGAAACAGGAAACAAGGCAGTTAATTCTTATGACTTCTTGAAAGTACAATGAATTGCAGATAAAAAGTGTGAGGTACATGCCAGGCAGGAAACACAAAAAAACCTCAGACTAAAACAGATTTTCACTACCACCTGCTGTGCTGCAAAACAAGCAGAACATTAACCTGCAAGTAGTTCTATATTATAACACCCCACAGAGAACATTACTATTGTGGCCCATCAGCACTGCAAACAGATGAGTTTTTCTGGTGGTCTAATACACTCAGAATTAACATACTACTTTTTTCTGCTGCTTTCCGCTATAGCTTACTTTCCAACCCCCCAACAGAATGTTTCTGCCTGGTGTTACTTTTCTTTGTTCTTTCCATTTAGCTTGAAAGTGTCTAGTTCAATCTTCTCTTACTCATTAAATATGCTCAATTATAATTAGTTCCTGTGATCAGGTCTGCCTTTATCTGTGCTGAATATTGGAAGCCAGCATCAAGAGAATTTAAAAACCATGTAAATCTAAGGTGCAAGTCATTTCAGCAACACGGAGAAAATTTAAGTAAACCTTGCATGTTTTGCAATTACACTGAAGTGAAGCAGAATACCTTCTCACCACATATACAGAAATACACAAGTTGTCTAAGCATTATGCACATACAATAGGTATAACAGATAAAAAGCAAAGAAAATAGAGGACAAAGCCCAAGTGTAAGAAACAGCCTCGTAAACTACTCTTGTCTGTTGAAGATATGAACAGTTGGAGCCTGTCAGAGATCAAGCGCAGTGAGCACTATCATATGCTGTTTTCTTGTCTCCATCTTCTGGAAGAAGAGAAAGATTCACTGCCCACTGTCACAGCAAGGGGAGAAAGAAAGAAAACAAAACACACCAGGACATACGTTACACTAATGTTTAATGAAAAAAAAGCAGCAGAACCTCTGAATAAATGCAAAGCAGTTTTTAAGAATCAAATATACCAGGAAACTATTTTTGTTGTTCATGATGTAAGATACAAAATTTGCTAAATTTTTATCGGATGTGTTTTATTTAGCCCAAGTAGATTCTAAGTTCATGCTCTGTAACTATTTGGAAAAGTCTTATACAACTGTTAATTACAAGATCTGTACACTCAGGTCTAAATATATTTCTCACTGATGAAGTACAAATCAAACCACAACCTAAAATTTCAGGATCCACTCTAAGTCTGCAGGATTCAGAGTCTGCTTGTTGGTTTTTAACTTATCTTAGACCTCACACTCAGGCCTACTTGAAAGCTCACAAGACTAATTGGAATAGTCCAAATATTACAATGAAAAATGTAAAAGGTGATACAGCACTCTGACATGTTATTCCTAGTTCTCATCTCAGCTAGGTTTTCGACAAGTTGTACTGAAAAAAGTACTAATTTGAAAAAAGGATTTAAGTATTAGTTAAAGTGGTTTCTAATTTATTCTCACTGGATACGGATCAAAATGTATTGCACTAGCATTAGTGGAAGATTTAAGACAAAAATAAAATACTTTTGGTCCTCCTCAGACTTCACTGTCATAACAGGTAGGAAATTGTTTTAATTAGAATTTGATTTGTATTGAGTTGGAAAGTAATCCTTTACCTTTGCTTATGTGGGGTTGTATCACAGGATCTGAAGTCAACAATAACATACACCAGGCAGAAAAAATATTGCCAGATATTGTCATTTACCTCCTCAAAATTCATTTAGCTATTTTGAATTATTTCAAAGTCTTTTACTCAAAAGAACCATTAAAAAAAATTAATTTCCTTGACAGTATAAACACTGGCTACCCATAATAACAATGATGAATATGAATATGATATAGTAATATGGTTGATAAATGGCAGGCAAGGAAGAAAACATCTTCCCTGAAACCCCCATCACCACCACAGCAATTCAGATCATCTACCATCCCTCACAGCTATCACAACACTGCTGAAAAATGCATTTTTCAAGAATATTTCTAAGAGAAAAGACTAGGTACTTTGCCTATATCAGCCAGCAATCTGCTCCAAGCCTAATAGATACTTATTATTAACTTTATGTACCTACTAAAACTTTGCTTCTATTTATAGCATATTACTACAAGAATGGTTCTTGTTCATTTAAAGATAATCTTTCCTTATTAACAACGCAGTAGTTCCCAAAGTGCTCCATCGGGATGAGACAAGTAATCTGGCTCTTATGTTGCCCACTACTATAAAGCGGATAAGGGACTGACAGTTGGCATTTAGGAATGAATGTGCAAAAAAAGTAAACTTTATATTAAATTGCATATACTTTGGGTTAACGTTACTGAAAAAGGAAAGCTCAGACAGCAGCAACTTGCCAGAATAAAAAAAGGAAACACTTGCAGCAACCAACACCTGATATTGTCGACCTGTTTACAAGGTTAATTTACAGAAGTTGTGTAGCTCAGAGGGTTGGCGACAAAACACTGAGCCTTCTGCTTCAAAACTGTAGCAGTGTATGTAATAGAGCTGAAGATATGCCCTGGACTGCCTGGCCCTCTACCTTTCAGAAGGCACAACATGCCACACATTTTCTCTTTTCATCACCTCTCACATGCACGTGCTCACATACATGTGTATGTATATGCAGCATGAGAGACAACAAGAGAAATACAGATGGCACTTCAAACCGCTGCTGGCATTTTATTCTGCTTGGTGACCTGTCAGCATCTTTGCTTGTTACAAGGCAGTTCTTCCCCTCCATTCCGCCACATACTCTCAGTGCAGGTGTCAATGTTTTACTTCTACAGATTTTTTTAATAGAAAAGTCCAAACTCCACAAAGTAATGTAGAGACAGCAAAAGTGCAAACTTCCAAACACTGGACAAGTTATTCCGTGGTTTAACTTTTTATTTCTAGATAGGCACGATAAAGCTGAATGGCTGAAACTGAAAAACTCAAACCACTTAATGGCACAAACACCCATTATAACTCTTTCCTAGTCACTACCCATCATTGTTGCTAGTGATGAGGCCATTATGGCATTCACACCTTGTTCATGGTGCAAAAGACCAATAGTTTTACTGCTAAGAGAAAAAACTGCTCTGGAGGAATTGTGAAGTCCACTGCTAAAAGACATTGAAAAGTCACACGGATGTGGCAGACAGCACCTTACAAAAACACTAACAGGAGAAACAGGTACAAGTAATCCCATATAAGCTGGCAAGGGCTGTAGCAAAGGCTTCTCAGATTTCTGCAGCAGAATGAAAACACCGTAACAGCTTCAGATGATTGATTATCCAGGTTTGCTCTGATATTCAAGCCAGACCAGTGCTATTACACAGAAGTAGTCTTATTTAATACTGTCTGCTTTTTTTAGTCTAAGAAATTATTTGTCTTATGACCAAATAATTATCTTGATATAAGGAAACAGGGAAGGTTGGTGAAAATTGGTTTTAAGCACTCAAGGATACGACTTTTAAACACTCTTTTTTGGCAGGATTAGTTTTTCGCAATCTTAAACCAAATCATTCCATTAAGCAATCAGACACACACTAGAGAGCACAAGGGAGGCAGCAGGGTCATGCATACAGGAAGGGTGGAACAAATAGGAAGTGGCAGCCTGCTGTTAGATCCATTCGGGCCATCTTTTTTAATCACTCCTTAAAAAGCTTCATCAGTAGTTTAGAATTAGAAGACAAGCATGCTAATGAACTGCTACTCCTAAACTGAACATCCAGGAAGCAGTTTAAATTAACGACTCTGTTAGGTTTCAGAATTGATACCATGCTGTTGTGAACGGAGAAAGTTCACACTCTTCTCAGTTACTGGCTAGCTATAGTTTTCAGAGGACAATATTGACTCAATTTACTCTGTTCATGGTTTAGCAGCTTTACCAACAACAAGGGACGCCAACTTAAGGTCACGCATTTCTGCAGAGTGTAACTCTCCAAAGTTTGTTACTTCAAAGGTAGAGGGAAGGCAGTACCCAGGCCATCACAATTGCCATCATCCCTCTCGTTCTCTTTTCAATATTGCATAGAGTTGCCTCCAGCAGCAAAATCTTCTGGATCAGTAGCATTTTCAGATGGACTTACCGCAGATAAGGTGCTTGGGGCGCATTGTTGCTGTTCAATTCATACAGTGAATCTGCCCGCAGACCATCAGCAACAAAGAGTACGAGACGTTTTGCTGGAGGTGGCAGTGGAGTCTGCTGAGGAGTCATACCATGAACCAGGGGAGAGCTGAAGTAGATGTCAAAAATGGAGACCAAGAACACACAATGCACAAAGAGACCAGCGAGTACGAAGGCTGGTATACCCATGGCAACAGCAGGCTGGCAAGGCAAAGTCCAACACTGAGAGAGAATGAGAAAAATAAAGTCAGGCAGATGAGACTTAGTAGAATCAATATTTATTTCATTATAGGACGCGAGTACCATAACCACAGTCATTACCCAGGATCCATAATCAACCTCTGCCTCCAACATGCTTTTTCCCAGAAGTTTTTGTCAAAAGTCATTGCATGGCTAATTCAGATTTTCAGATAGTCATTATGTCTCAGCAACTCATCTCTGGCGTTCAGTGGGGTATCAGACAGCTTCAGAAGACCACTGAATCAAGCCAGTTGGTCTAATATTCAGCAGTTTTTTTGTTACCTACATCAGTGACAGAAGACTCAGACAATGCCATGTCTCCATGAACATACTACCCTCTACCGGCTGATTGCGTGGCAGCGTTGAGGTCTGTTCAGGCAAATGCAAGCCAAAGACAGCTAGGGAAAGCCATCCTATAGCAAACCTCCATCCAAAATTGCTTGTTCCAAGTTTACTATCAATTCTGGGGTTATATTCTGCCTAGAAACAGAAAACTTATTTTAAAGGAACAAAGATGCTCTGCTGAGTGCAGAACACTATTCCTCTTCTAAAACAGGTGACAAAAGCACACCACCTGAAAGATTATGTTTCATGGATAGTGATATTCCCTTTTTGAATGCTTTTTCTGCCCTGTCATCCTCTGAAGTCAGGTCAGGGACACAAATATGCTTAGTAACATGTACACTGGAAATGTAAGTGTCTGCCACATGTACTGAGGGGTTTCTATGATGCCTACTGAAGGCAACACAAATATGTATATCGACTCAGGTAAGTGTGGGATCTGTGTCTGAATGAGGCTTAGTTCCGACAAAGTCCTATTAGTGCTGTCCAGGCTGCTAACTCAGTTATTTAAATATTAGCTAATTACCAACCTTAACAAAACAACAGCTCCACTCACCAATTTAGAAACAGATGTTCCTAACAGCCTAGAAGGTTCAGATATTCAATTACCTATGTAAATACACATCTCTCTAAAAGAAACTCTTTGTTTCAGAATCTAGTTAGCGCTTCTGAATGACAATATATAAGTTTATCTTGTTACTTAGAGAATTCCAGCAGCTGGACAGATGCAGACAGCCACCACATGGTGAAACTATTATTCTTATGAAATAAAGAAAAAAGGCTTTACTACCACGTAACCTTACTCTGATCAAAACTCTTAAAGATGTCTTTCAAAATAAAAATTTTAAAGGGCCAGGAAACTCAGAGAAAAACACCCACACACTAAAAAAGATTCGAAAGTTATTATTATTACTTACTAATCCAAAGAAAATTCAGATCTGTATGCAAGTTTACCATAACTTGCAATTCCACCTATTTTCCCTACTGAAACACAGATGCAATAACGCCAATCCTAATCAGAATCATTAATAGTAATTTGTCATTTTAGAGATTTGGAGAGAAAACCAGTTAAGAAGATTGAAACAACTAAATACAACATTTCAAAGAGACACATAGTAGTCACGCTTCAGTGATTAAACAAAAACTTTTCATTATTCAGGAACTTACATGCTTTATGTCTACAAATGCGATTCCAAGAGAGAAGTGGATATTTGTAAAAATCAGTTTGTTTATTTTTTATCTTTAAGTACTCAGAGTTCCTGCATGAATTTACATACATGAAACCACAGTCACAGAAATACTATTAAGTTCAACGCAGGACCTCATTTTATTCTATCAGTTTTATTTTCCATAGGGCTTTTGCTTTTGATGTAGTTGTGTTTGATAAGAGAACCCATACCATTCATGCCTTAAACTGATGAGACTAAACACCCTACTAAACAAAGCAGTTACTTCAATCAGATACTTGCTGTTGCATACTCCCAGTGCTACAATTCTATAGCTTAACATATTCTAAATTCTTCTAATTAAAGTATTAGTAACCTAATCTGTTTTCAGCAATAGCTATCCCTCTTTGCTTTAACTCTCCCCAGGCCTGAGCCCTTGCTTGCAGCAAAAAGGGTGCAATCAACACAATTCAAATTTAATGCTGTCTTACACTATAGTGATTTAGAGAATTAATTTAAAACAACAAAGAGACTTTCTAGTGTAATATAGTTAAACTGTGGTTGCAAAAGACTATTCATCTAGGCACAACATATCCAACTGCTCATCACCATCAGATGACTTCAAGATAGGCAGCTCCCAGAGCACGTGCTTCTGCCACATCCCTCGTAGCCACTCCTTCTGCCTCTACCTTAGCTTACATTGCTCCTTTAATGCATGACTCTGTGCATCATCACTGTGACATAACATTGAGAAGAGCATCCTATCCTATGGCTTACAAATATCTTCCCACACGTATAAAGTGTTTGGAAAGCTCCTAGTGGGATCTCAGCTGAATGCCAGAACAGCACCTGGCACCCTTTCCCAACGGCAGTCTTGCTTTCAAACTACTGAGCCATTGGGCAAGGTGTTGCAAATGAGCACTCGTCTCTGGTTACAGAAGGCTCCAGTTCAAAGAACAAAGTTTAAATACAGTCAACAGTAATTCTAGAGAGACACAAGTGACCTTCTACACCTTTTCATCTTGATCAAGTTACAACTAAACTTGGTCATTGGCAGCCCAGAGTGCCTAAAGTTCATTTAAGACAGCTTATTAGTGAAATACATCCTCTTCAAGCATCCAAAGGATCATGGAAGAACAAAACATTTCCAGTAGCTGCTTTTCAATGAAAAAGAATGCTCTGTATCTCTGCCGGGATTTCTCTGGCAAACCAAGGCACCCATTCTACCCCTGTAGGAAAAATACCCAAGACTAGGCTTTTTTGGACCCAACTTTCCACAAGTCCATTCCCACCTCAGTGTTAGCTCCCCTCAACACACACTATGCTACTCGGAGCACATCCTCCTTTCTTCTCAGCTCGCAATACTGATATACATTTGACTATCATGAAGGGTGAAAGAAAAGCAAGCAGGCACATGGATGACGTTTCTTGTAGAGATCCTCTTTAATAGCTGAACAGGGCAGGCAGGAGAGATCTGACAGAGCAATGAGACCGTATCGGAAAAGAATGACTCTGCACTTTAGTCCTCTCAAAGGGAGTCGATGCTCAGGGGAAGGGCAAAGTTTGGGTCCTTGAATGCAGAGTTAAGTTTCTGTTATTGCCTATGATGTGGAAACATTAGTTTGCCTAAAAGGTATGGCAACATGAATGAAAATGGGCAAGTAAATTTCCAGAAAGCTTTTCCTAGAGACTGAAGACAGTCAGAGGGATCCCCCAGGCACGCTGCCTGTGACAGACACTGCAACCACCATAAGTAGGCATCAGGTTCTCAGTCACCCTACTGCAGATAAAACAGTAACCAAAAAAACACATTCAGTCATTCATATTCACTGAATTACAAAATTACTTACCCGAGGCCTGACAAATACTCACATCTGGAAACAGATTCAGATATTAATGAAGTAAAGTATTCCCTGTCAAAAAAATACCTTCACTAGGGCCCTCTGAACTTCCAAGTACCACGGTCTAAGACAGACATGGGTGGAAGACAGTTGAACGACAGGCTGAAATGGCCCTTTCCTGTATAAAAATCAGTTTGTATTTTGAGAAAGAGCTTGTCTAAGTGATCCATTGCTGTGCAGAAACAGGTCTTGGCTGATACTGGCGCATTTCTTGGCTGAATTGCTGCCAACTGGTACATCACACAGTTCTTTTAACTAAAAAAAGTCAGCAAGATAGGAAGCCAAAGAAATCAAAAGGAGCACCAGAGGTACTATTCAGAAGTCTTCTTTCAGTTTGCACCTACACTGGCAAGAAAAATGAAGGTGCTTTATCTCTCCTAGAAAGAGAGATAAAGCAGTCACCCCAGCTACAATCTAAGTTAAGGCCAACAGAACTGACAAGGCCAGACCACTAGCATTTTACTACCAACACCAATATTAATTGTAAAATTTGGGATTTCAAGTGTTAGAATATACGTCCTGCAAACTGGAAGACAACCCTCTTCCCTAATTGGGAGTGCCAAAGTCATCTGAATTCACATTTGCAGGTATTTAAGCTTCTTAAATCTAGGATGGTCTACTACCTTTCATTCTGCTGTGGAACAAGATAATTTTGTCCATGCATTTCTAGCTACTTGATATGAAGAGTTATTAGTTCAATGGATGCCAAGGAAACAGACAAAAAACATCTCTTCTTGGAGCCATCCATCCCTGGAACCCTCCTATTAAAAGTTGATTTACCACGGATCACTGAACTGTGAAAGGTAAACCATCAAGGAAGAAAGCAAAGGTAAAAGACAGAGGGACCTCTGGGATTTGTGATGAACCTCCACAGAAAAGGAGGATTAATGCTAAGCAACATTTGTGCTGTGTAATTGCAGCTACAAGTGTTTGTGGCACAAACAGAAGAAAAAGATGAGTAGCTCTCACTTCAAGTATAAACTGGATACTTGTGGTCACCTCTCCTCCATTGCACTCTTGCAAAGGGCTATCAATATGGAGAGGGAAAGCTAAATATTTATCTTGAAAATATCCTTTTCCTTACAAGCTCTGGACACGATCTTCATAAGTTAGAATAAGGAGATTTAGGAAAAAATGAGATTTGTGGAAAAACCTCAGTGTATATCTTCTGGGACATCTGGGGTTTTTCTGCCTATGTTATGCTCTAGCATTACACCTTTTTTTTCTCCCCACTCGTTTCCAAGAGGAGTGGAATCATCAGTTAATTTGTGTTCTCAAAGATGCAATGCAAGGTCTCAGACTGCAAGTCCAAGGAGGGATGTCACTTAACAGTCAGCACAGCCTCCACACCACCAGTGCAGGAACAGCTGGAACTAGTTGACAGCCCCTCTAAATTTGAAAATGCACAAGTCTTCACTCATCTGAGTGAGGGCAGCTTCAATCATCAGAGATCTCTTCCACTCCTCTTTTCTTCCTGCTTAGTGCTTTTGCATCACCATTTGACAGGGTGGTTCAAAAGCCAAGTCTGAACCTGCAGGTCCAAGGTGGGAACCAGAGGCTGAACAG